TAGTGTTAACTTAGTAATAACTTAATATAGTGGATTGATCATTCAATCATTTAATTATATTGACATTATTGACCCAAAAAAAAAATCTATTCATCTATAGTTTTATTCTATATGCATGCTATTCAATACTGGCTAAAAAGTATATTGGATGAATGATGAAGGCTAAAACATTTCTTAAGTGATCAATCTACAAAGTCTATTTAAATGACTTTTTTGAGGAAAAAATCACAGGAAGCCAGATTTCATTCTTGTTTTAAACCCATGTTGGAACATGGTTCAGACTTTAAATCGTAAAAGAGACTTCAAATTTTCCTGCTTTTTATTTGCCTTTGCGCATACAGAAAATTTACATAGTATTCCAGAAATATAGGGGGGGGGAAGGAAAAGAAAAGAAGTATACTTTTCATAGCATATACAACACTGTTTAACATAGAATCTTGGGTTCATAGAAAATTTACGTTTGGTTGGAGGATTCAAACCATGTGATTCGAACCATTTTCGATTTACGTGAATTTTTTGTGAGAGATAATACTGTAGCGAACCACGAATCATGATTCGAATCAAGAAACGAATCCCTCTACCAAACATAAAAAAAAATAGAAAAGAGAAACCAAACAAAAACTGATGAGAGACGTCATCGCCAAGGTCAAACAAAAGCGAGTCTTAACGTATTGGTGAGCATCAAAGTAGTTTTGTTAAGTACACATATGTTCTGTGTATCACAAATCTTTTGGATGGTTTCTGTATAGAAGTTGTACTGTATGATTGCACCAGCAGTTCCAGCACTAAATAGGATTCTTCTTCAAGCTCACCTCGTACAACAGAGTACTGTACAAAAATAGAATCGCTCAAAATGCACTTTCTTAAGTATCTTTGGAAATGCGGCTATTCCTGTGACGACCCTAACTTTTGGTCATCATCCTATGCTCATATTTACCATTTCTTAACCTCTATGACGACCCTAACTATAACTTCACAAAATTTCAGGCCATTTTTTTCCATTCTTACCATGTACGTTAAAATGCTGTAGCATTCTGACAACATTCTGTTACATTAGTCATCAAAATACATAAAACACTATTTTATTTTACATATAAAGTTCAGCAGCGTTTCCAAAACACATGACGCGTCCACAACCTACTTGCCCACATTCCGCTGCTACACCCTCTCTGCATGTCCAGCTTCAAGTTTCAGGGAGCCGGTGCCTTACCCGTGCTTCCTACAACACGAACAAACTTAATGAGCTTTTGCTCAACAAGTATCAATAGGTCATAACAGATGCAATAATTATGCATACCCATATATGCATTCATGTCATATAGCCTAGTACAGAATTCTAAACGACTTTCGTTATGTGTTTCTCATTCTTTTCATTCTTGTTTACGGATACCATATCGTTAAATGGAATGGTTTCCGTGTTTCATTTTCTTGTCTTTTACTTCTTAGGGGCACTGTCCTGTTGTACCATAGCGCGCATAACTAGTGAAGAGTGGGGTAGCTAACCAATCCAACTCAGTCATGGTTTCATATCTTTCATAGTCTCATAATAACCTTTCCTTCGAAGGCTGGTACAAATAGGACGTTTAGTCTCTTACCGTTTATCAATTTTCTCATTGAAACGGTAACTTTAGTTAAATCTTATGAATTTGTGCATTATTGAGCATTTTATCATGAGATTAACTTTTCGTTAAAGTTTAACATTTCATTTCTCTTAGTTTGATCTCGACTTAACATCGATACATACTTTTTGCAGAATAAAGTTCTACGATTACATAAGTCTTGTAGATCCTTACCTAACATAGTATCTAACATTCACATTGTATCTAACATTCAAAATTCTACTATATGCACAATCTTTGTGCAACATAGAAAAGTAAGCTTGTTCGGGATATAGCCACAGAAAAACTATTGTACTTACCAAAGTTTCGCTAACAACGCGTCCTTTGTCTCCCTTGACGCTTTCCAACTTCAACCGTTAATCGGCCCTATTGCATAAATTTTTTTATCGTTAGATTCAGAATCTACGATCAATAGTTACATTGAAATTTACTTCGGAAAAGTCTACAATCCTTATGTTTGGTATTCATCCTCAAACCATTTCCTATCTCAAGGATTTGCACTAAAATCGTGCAAATTACTCAGTCATGGGCCTAATTTTCAATTTTGGTCCAAAACTGTGAATTCTCGTTGTGTTCAGTTTCTAACCATCACCGATTATCGAAACATCTTTCTTTTCACACTTTAGTCCCATATTCCTCTTGAAATCCAGTTTTACTTCAAATTACTCGAACTAAATTTTGGTAGAGTTTCGCCTTATTTTTCTCGTTTCCCAATTTTTTTAATAACTCATTCTACTTCTGATTTTGGTACCTGGAGTCAAGATTTACATTCCTGAACACAAATTCCAACATAAAATTGAACAAAACATATGTTCTTTCTTAATCTAGGCTCACGAATTTTCGATAGAAATCCACTAAAACTTTATTCAATCGTCTTAAAACTTACACCGTTAAACTCTTATTACGATACTCTACAAAACCCCAGTTTTAATTTTCACTTTAACGAAAGTTTTTCTAAGATGGGCTACTTTTTATCTAAATCAAGAAAATATAGAATTCTCACGAAAACTCTAAAATCTTACCTCCAGAAGTTGAGGTTTTTCCGCTAGAACGCCTCAGGTTACGTTTCTATCGGATTGAATGGAAGAAATGGTAAGTTACCAACGTGAGTCATCCTCCAGCCAAGCGTACATAATGACAGGTGGTGTTGTTGGTATATATCCACCTCCACCTCACGGTAACAACAATTCTTTTTACTTTTTACTTTTTTTTTTCTTTCTTCTTGGTCGGCCAGGCAAAGAAAACAAGAGTGTCTTCTAGTATCTCCGTGGAACTCTTTAAGAAATTAATGAATATTATAATATTATTTTTAATAATATCTAATATTACTTTTTAAATTAAATTAAAGAAATTAAATTAATTTTCATAATTTAATTTTACTAGTTCTACTTAAGTTTAACACTTTATTTGAGTGGTTCTATGTTCCCCACATTTCTCTTGTCGAGACCTAACTTTCCGTTTCTCAAGACGAGTCTCTTTCCGGTACTAATAATTTCACAATCAGTACAGGTTCTATATTAATTTTTTGGACTGCCGAGCACCCTGGGTCAAATTTCTTATATTCAACCCATTTCTCTTGGGTATCTCATTAGTCAATTCCCTTTTCTGAAATTATCATCTTAATTGATTCAGAATTGCCCAAAACGCGTACCCTTGCGGTACTCTTTTTTTTGGCAGTTTTCCGCTTTAATTGACTCGGGAAAATTCCGTTTCAGGAACTTTTGCTATTTTCCTTACTTCTAATTTTTCTACTCTTTTTCTAGCTGATCATTTGGTCACAAATCAAACATTTTAGTTTTTCATAACTAAAATATACCCGCTAAAATTTCTAACTTTTAACTGATATTTCACTATTCATAACTGATATTTACAAATTTTCTTTGTAAAAATATTCGTATTATAACTTTACACTTTTCGGGAGATTTTATCCCGTACATAAAGTTTTTTTTATATAACATTTTCTTGATTACATCAAAATTCTACTATTTACTATTCTGGAAAGAATTTCAGTCAAATACTGGACTGTCCGGATTAGACCTAAATTTTTCCCGGTCATTACAATTCCAGGGACAAGATTCACTCTGAAACTTGACGAACCAACCAGAATAATCCGTTTTCATCTCGTAGATCTCAAAACGAGGAGATCGTGGATCCAATCCGTAAGCGATAAGATGCAAATGGCCACGAGACTCCCCAAAATACCCGTACCTCCTCCGAGCAGGCATTGGCATTGGCATCGACATTAATCGCTCATTTTTTACATTAAAATACATCGATTTTTCACTAACCCAATGGATATTGCCATTCAAGAATACCCCATTGCGGAAGCTAAAATCAACTTCATTTCCGTAGAAAGCATTGCAGGAGAGAATCCAACGGCGAGTCTCCGGCAAGTCTCCAGCAAGTAAATCTTGATCTGACAATAACGCATCCTCATACGGTAGTAGTAGCTGAAGCATACTACCCTGTAGTAAGCATACTACACGATTGCTCATTATCCAACCCACACGTGAGATTGAGTGTTAAAGTATAAAACTATTATTAGCCCACCTCCTAACAGCTTAAGCTATTGAGATTGATCGGTAAACTAACAACCTTTTACTTTGAGATTATCTGTATTATTCAATTCTTAGATTAAAATTCTGAATATCCTATGTTCAAAATTCAAAATATGGATTTATACCAGGAAAAGGGTGATTTTACCATTCAAAAGCAAAAAAATAATAATAATAATAAAATAAAATAAAAGGAAAAGGTGATTTTAAAAATTGTCAAATTAGGTTGCAAAATTTATGCGTATGGTTGCAAAATTAGGTCTGTTACTGCTTTGGTCTGTGATTTCTTATTGGATGGTTTTTGTGCTAGTTTTTGGTAGTTCGTTTATCTAGAGAATGTTGAAGATGATTTGACTTCTATTTAACCTCCACCAAACTTGCAGAATTACTTCTTGTTGGCTCTCCGCAAATAACACAAGAGAGTGGCTGCATATAATTCAAGTTTCAATTTTTTAGCTGTTATGTTATCACCGAATTCAAACGGTAATTATCAATCTCTGGCTGCCCTGATATTTAATAATACAACACTTATCCTCTCTTTAATTGAGCATAGTTATAGGGGTTGTTGATTGGTTGTTACTGTTGAGTTAACCTTATTTCAGAGTTTTTTTTTCTAATTTATTTTACTTTTAAATCTCCCATATAGATTAATTAGAATAGCTTATTAGTTTCCGGGTTGGATTATGAATCATGCTTGCATATCTATACGTAGCCACTTAAGCGCAGATCTTCTATACAATTTTGGTGTCTGAATTAGCGTTTGAACTTCGAAATATGAGAAACAGATAAAAGGAATACAAAGACACTACTTGAAAACAAAGGGTTAGAAAAAGGAACAACGGGTTAGAAAAAGGATCACAATTTAACCATAAACAATACCATATTAATATTTTTTTAAAAACACACACAAAATACAAACCAAACTGAAAAAAGTGGCATCAAACAAGAGCGAGACTCTCATTGTATTGATGAACACTAGTCCACTCAATCAACTCCGGGAACATCATCAGCACCGAATTCGCATCTTGAACGGTTTTAGTTCTGGAGACAGGCTCAAAATTACAAAGCTTGAAGAAAGTTCTGGTCTTGAGATTGTACCTTATAACTTTACCGGGTATTTGCAGCACTAGATACGATTCTTCATCAACCTCACTCCGAACAACGCAAAGCACGGAGAACACATAGTCGTGCAACTTCGCCCGGTGGAGAAGCTTTCTCCGGACAATCTGCGGAAACGCGCTCGGAATTTCGGAGAGATCGACGCGGAACTTGACGGACCAGCCGGAATAGTCCGTCTCCATTTCTAAAACATCGAAACGCGGCAATTGGAGATCGTATATGTGATCAATGAGATGCAAATGTCCTCTGGATTCGCCAAAGTATCTGTACTTCCGATCATGATCCCAGCCGTCTTCCGGAATCAGCGGCATTGGCAATGGACTAATTCGCTCTTCTTCGACCTTCAAGTGGACGGAAGCTTCCCAAACACTAATCCAGTGAACAGAACCGTTCCAATAGACCCCGCCGTCGAATCGGATATCGGAGCTATTGATGAAGAAAGAATCGCCGGAGAGCCTCCAGCAGCGAGTCTCCGACGAGTAAATCTCGATCTGATACTGATCGCCTCTGGCGTCAGAGTTCCGAACGCAAACGACCTTGTAGTGAGGAGAAATGGAAGGATCGAACGCCAAACTGAGGCCGAAGACCCTCCGATGGGCGCCGTCTCCGACCGGCGAAATCGGAGGGAGTTTGGTGAACTGCTTTGTGGTGGGATTGAAGACGAAATTCTCTCTTGGCTCGAGAGCTCTGATTGAGCAACACAACAGCAATCCGTTGCAGGACTGAATTATTCCGGTAGCGACGTGACCGCCATCGGTGAAAGCGAGAGATCTGAAGGGGCTTTCGGAGGAATTGGGGATTAGGTCGTCGAGATTGACGAAGTCGAATTCAGAAACGCCGATAATGCTCCTCGAAGAGCGTGCCAAGAAGAGACCGGAGGCGGAGGTGGGGAAGTTAGGATTGCGGCGGAGGGAGAAATTGGGATCGGAAATGAGGGAGAGGCAGTGCTTGGAAACGGATTTGAATTTGAGGAGGGATTTGATGGGCAGGCGGAGGAGGATTTCGTTGAGGAGGTCGTCGTTGTTGGCTATTGTCTCCGCCGATCGCGACGGTGGTGTGGCGGTGATGGCGGCGTTTGGGCAGGTCTTAGTTCTTTTGGTGAGGGACATTTTGAACGATATGCTCGATGAAAAGGTGAGAACTTGAGAACCGGGAGATAAGATTAAATTGAAATTTATGACTTTGAAAAGTGGCGGACTTCCGCTCCCTATTTATTTCATCGATTTAAATTTAAAATTTGAGTTTTATTATAATAAAAAATTATTAAAAATAATCACATTGAACTTATTTATTACAATAAAAAATTTTCACATAAAGTCACATCTCAACTCAAATTAAAAACTCAAATCAATGAACAAAACGGGCCCGTAAAAAGAACAAGCTTATTCATTTGCATTTTTTGAATCATGATGACTTGAATTCATATCTTAATTTGAGTTAAAGTGTATTTAAGTATGGTTTAAGTTTCGACTCTAATTTGAATTTGTGTTTGGATATACATATTTTGAGTTATGGTTTGAATTGAGAATCTAATCATCTCAATCGGAATTAAAATAGAAAATTATGGTGTTTTTTTATAATAGAAAAAATATTGTTTATTAACTTGAGTTTGAGTTTGAGTTTAAGAACTTGAATTGAAATAGGAACTTGAACTCATTTTAGTCCTAAACTCAAATTCAAACTCAAATTTTACAAAAGAACATGAATTTAAATAAAATTATAACTTGAGTTCAAACTTTTTTTGAGTTTAAGTACAAATGAACAAGCCCCAAGTTTTTTCCATATTCTTACGAGATGCTTCAAGAATTCCTATTTCAAGTACTCGTTGTTTCTTGTTGAGGAGATTTTTTAGTATGCTTAGCGTATTGATAGATTAAAGTTTTTTAACTATTATACATACGTATTTTTTTAATTTTTACATGATTTTATGCAGTTCTGACAGATAAAAAATCTGACCTTCTAATATATTAGCGTACCGAAAAAAGTCTTTTTTGTTAATGTCGTTGTCAGTTTTTTGCAATAAATTTCTTTTCGCATTCCACGTTTATTTTTGCAGTAAAATTTGTTTTTTAATAAATAATTAAGCAGTTTTTTAGGTTGTTTGTTGCAAGTTGTTGTTGTTAGTATTCTCTGTTGGTAGGAGAAAAAATAGGAAAGGGATAGAGGGGTGAGGGGAATTAGTGAAAAGATTTTAACGATTTTTAGAAAAATGTCGCTATTCTAATAACACAACACTAAACATGGGATTGGATTAAATTAAAATCTAATCTTATACTTTTCTATACATTCCAATTCATTACCCTAAAACTATATTATCCTATATGGTGCACCAAACGGGACCTAGGTAATTTGATAGTAGAGACAAGAAAGAATAAATTGGCTAGAGAATCTTAAATCCTTCAAAAAAAAAAAAAAACTTACTTTTAATCCCTCTAATTCCCAATATGAAGGGCTCATTTAGAACATAAATTCAAGTCATGATTTACATTCATTGGTGAGAATTTTGTAAAAGAAAAAATTTTGAAAATTAAACTCTTTGTGAGATAAAAAAAACACTGTAACATAACTTAAATTTGAGTTTGAATATATGTCCCAAACAAATCAGAAGAGATTGACTGAGAAAAATCATATGAAATTAACACGGTAACAAAAAGGTTTTCACTTTCTCCATATTTCTCTATCTTTTTTTTTTTATATATATATAATTTCTTTCCCTCTTTTCAAACAAGCCTTATTGTTGCTTCCTTTAGTTTTTTCTCTCTCTTTTTTTTTTTTTGGCCGCCTTTTTCTCATTGTAGGCGTTTATTGATAATATTTGTCAATTCTACCTTTTTCAAGTTGCTGTCCTTTGTGAGCCAATTGTCGCTTTTTGATAAATCTCTTTTCAAATTGTCTGATTACTGATTATTATATTTCAGTAAAAGTTAGAAATGAACTTATTTGTCGTTAGATAAATGAGCGTATTGTCGTTTTCAGATTAACGTCGTTTTTTTGTAGTGTGTCATTTTCATTGATGAGATTTTTCTGCATATCAATGAAGCCGATTAAAGAAAGAAAATATAAAAGATAATGGGAGAAGGAAAACAAAACTTGGTTAGCTTCTTTACTTCATATTTATAGATGAGAATCTACTTGCTGATAGTAAACTTATGGAACGGTTTTAGATAAAGGTAAGCCTTTACGACACTAACCTCTATTTTAAGCTTTTGTTTTTCAATAACTTTTTTTTTTTTTTGGAAAACAGTTTTTTTTTTTTTTCCTCTCTTTCTTTTTAGGTAGGAGGAAAACAGGGTTGTTACATGTTGGTCGCGTTGTTGCCTTATTTTTTTATGGGAGCATTATTGCTTTATTGTATTCACCGAAAGATGAAATAAATCAAAATGTGAAAAACAAACAATAAGCCAATATTATATTGTATAATACATGTGAAAAGGAGTTCAATTCTAAGAGATACATTACAATCCCAGATTCCAAAATAAGAAATGAAACAAGTTGCTAACGTTTTAAGTTGGAAAGCGACATCAAACACAAGCAAGACTCTCGATGTACTGATGAACATACCCCACTAAAGACATGTGCAAAATAGTCTCCATGCCTGCAGGCACAGTATCACGGAGATTGTAAAGAGTTGTACTCTCGAAGTTGTATCGCAATACTTTACCAGGAA